AGTTTGCAATTATCGAAGAGCAGTTGGAATTAGTAATGTATCAGACACAGAGCCAATGAAATTCGTAATCTAGAACATTCGGAAATAGCAGTCTATTCATGAAGCTTTCAACGTTATAGTATAAACGAAGCGAAATGTAAAGAAACGGATGTCGAAATCAACGAGAAGTATTTAATGATCAAATAGCGTGGATCTATAATGCAAATGTTCTTAGATGATCATATACAAAGAAAACAAAATTCATAACAACTTCGAAATCCAGAAGTTTTTGATCTTTTTCAGAGAGCCTATTCCGTAAGAGTTGCTTCTTCAGAGCGAGGAGTTTGCGATTTTCCAAGAGCAGTTGGAATTAGTAATGTATCGGACACATAGACAGTGAGATTCGTAATCTTGAATATTCGGGAATTGCAGTCCATTCATAAAGCTTTCAATGTAATAGTATAAACGAAGCTAAACGTATGTCCAAATCCACGGGAGATATTTAATGATCAAATAGCGTGGATCTATAATGCAAATGGCTCTCGATCGAACTGTCGCAGCTGCAGTTCTTAGATAGTCATATACAAGGAAAAACAATTTCATAAACAACTTCGAGATCCAGAAGTTTTTGCTCTGTAAGAGTGGCATCTTCAGAATGAGGAGTTTTCGATTATCCAAGAGCAGTTGAAATTAGTAATGTATCGGACACAGAGCCGATAAAATTCGTAATCTAAAACATTCAGGAATTGCAGTCCATTTTGATCTCTTTCAGAAATCCTATCCTTAAGAGTTGCTTCTTCAGAGCGAGGATTTTACGATTATCCAAGGGCAGTAGGAATTAGTAATGTATCAGACACAGAGGCAATCATATTCATAATCGAGAGCATTCGAGAATTGTAATACAATCATGAAGCTATATCTATAATGCAAATTATCACATGAAGTGAGCAAAGCATTAAAACTAGTATCAGAACGATATCGTTAATAGCCTGTGGAATCATTGGTAGAGGTTTAAGACGCTCATTAACCAATATCTAATTAACATACTCTGTACTTAATCGAGTTAAAATTCGGTTCACAGAGGGAAGTGAATAAAAGTTCAGAATAAGGAGATAATAAACTTTCACATCCAATAGTATTTGGACCCCAATGGGTATTAAATCAAAACTTAGTTGAATTGTCGTTCTAAAAACACTTAGAGATTAATACGAAATATTGAAAAATTTTTTAGTATGGGTATTAAGAATGTCGCTAAGTCATGATATCTGTACAAGAACATACTTCCAAATCCACTTTATTTCAATTCATTTGTTTGTTATTTACAATGAATATCGAAGATTTTATAATTAACTAATCATATTAAACCGATTGGTATGTTTCTGAAAACGATATATTTTAACTTATGTGACTCACTGTACTATTATCACAGTATGGATGAATAATAAAGCCTGCCTAATGACGTTGACAACAGCATCATCATCATCATCATCATTGTGACTATGTATGATGACGATGATGACTTCGCATGCGGTCGCCTTATATTGGAAAAAAAGACTATTTAGTTTAAATTTTATTTTATATTTTATATACTATTAAGCTAATATTTTATATGTTTGCTTACATTTACAAAAAAATTGTCATTTTAAATTAAAAAAAATTGTCAAACAACTTTTTTAGCGCGTTTTTTTTTTCTACTTCTTCTGTCGCTTGTCAAACAAAGTGCGTTTTAGTGAAAGTGGTTCAAGTGGGGAATATTTTTTTGCAATATTAATTGAATAATAAAACTAAGACAAGGTAGATTTTTTAAAAAAATACATATTTTACTATGTTTTTTTAAAACGTTGCAAAACTATTAATTGAGGTAATAAATTGTAAGAGTATAAATAGAGTTTTTTTCTAGTTATTGACAGGGTAATAATTTAAAACAAATTAAAAAAAAAATACTGCAAGTTAAATTATTCAAAATTTCGAAAAAATATGAGATTTTTTTATAAAGTTTCTATTGGCTTGTGTTGTTTTAAAGTTGTTATGGTTTAGTTTATTCCTTTTTGGAGATTTATTTTTGGTCTTTGCGTGGGTTTAATTAAAATTTTAAACAGTTTCTGTTTGTTTTATTTAGAACAATTTAAACGTGCGTAACCACCTATCGGTAGTGGTCTGTTTACAAAATATGTGATTTGTTTATGGAAATTTTTTATAGAATTTGAATTTTGTGAAAATTTTAGTATCGTTTAAAAGTTTTTTAAAAAAAGTAGGTTTATAGCGTTTTTCTGGTTATTGTTAAATTTTTTTTTATTTATTAATCGTGTCTTTTATATGATGACTAGCTAGGGTTGGTTATCTATAATATGACATTTAATTATCAATATCTAATTTGGTATCAGAAGAGATATTAATTGCTCTTTCTAAGTTTAGTTTTCCTAGAATAAATTTCACTATACGATGATAAAAATCGGAATACCTAGCAGCTGCAATCCTGGGATTCAAGAAGTGCAAAAATATGATTATTTAATGAGAGCTTTAACCTTTTCAACTTTGCCGGTTGTGTAAGTAGACATCACTGTACCCCAAGGCGAGCTATTAATAATAATTTCGAAAGAAGATAGAAGTTTTACATCACTGTAGATCAAAGCAAGTTATTAATTATAATTTCGAAAGAAGATAGAAGTTCTGAGTAGTTATGTTTGATCCATTCCGTTTATTTGTCAAACTGTTGCAGCTTCAGTTCTTAAATTCTCAGAAACAAGAGAGCCAATTCAGAAGCAACTTCAAAGGCCGACAATTTTGTTCCGTTTCAAAGAGCTTCAAAGCATTAGTAAGAACGATTAGGTTGATCAGTCTTAATCAAGAGAAATTGATGTCTCTTTAAGTGATAGAATTGGACAAAAATTCTTAGCATTTCTCTCTTCTGATATGAGTTTTTATGTTCGTACCACTTCTTCTTAGTATCACAATGGTCTCAGAGTTGATTTGTTGAATAATTTTCTTCAAATCGCAGATGAATCTCACGAATTGCGAGTCTGTGGAACCCTTTACGTAACGCCATCTATCAAATACTAGATAGCTTTCATGACAATTTGATCTTTGATCGGGAATAACCTAAAACTCAATATTCCAAAGTAGCTCCATTAAAAAATAAATGTTTCCATAGAAATTGTTTTCTTTAGAGAAGAGCTTTTCAAGTCCACTTTAAGAAAATTATATCATCACTTTATAGGTTATCATAAAGACAAGCTTGATCGACAACAATTTTTACTTATTCAACTTTAATATCAGGACTGGAAAATTCGGAACTTTTTTCCTTTTAGACTAATCCATAGAATTGTTAAAAAGTACTCATTTGCAAAAAGTTAATATCAGGTTTGGAAAATTCAGTACTACACTAATTTTGTATGTACTTTTTTTACTTTGAAAAGTACTGCAGCACTCTCATGACAATGTCAATAAGCTAGTTCTAGACTAGTCAACAGAAAAGTCCATAGTCAATTGACTAGCCAACAGTCAACAACCTAGTCCATAAACAAATCAAAAGACTAGTCCTCATACAAGTCGACAGACCAATATTTGTCAATGGGATAGTCTATAGACTAGTTAAGAGATTGTTCATAAACTAGTCAACAGAATAGTCCATATACTAGACTACTAGACAATGGACTAGTTTATATAATCAATAGAATAGCTACTAGATTAGGCCATAGATTAGCCTACAGACTAGTATAGTCCACAAACAAGTCCACATAAAAGTCCATAGAATAGTCAATAGACTAATCAATAGACTAGTCAATTGACTAGTACATAGATTTGTCAATTGACTATTCAATATCCTACTCAATTGATTAGTCCATAAATTTGTCAACAGATAAGTACCTAAACACACTTCTTTCGAGTACCATTCAAAATTTCAATTTTCCATGCCTGGTTAGTACAATTTGTTTTCCATGAAGTTTTTTAAATGTCAATTCTGGACAGCTGACTTCTATCTCTTTTTACAGGATAAATTAAAGCTTTATTTCTTGCAAAAGCTTTTTCTATATCTCTTTTTTGCTTTTTTTTTGCAGCTAAATTCCAATAACAACTTGTTGCATACTTTAATTTCAAATACAAAACAACAACAACAAAATGAGAATAATAAAAAAATATAAATAGGAATGAGTTAATAGATAAAAACACTCAATAATTTAGAAATAAAAACAAAACGCATAGAATTGCATTTTGTGTTTTTTTTTTTGTGATTTAACACAGATTTGCCTTTTTACATACAATAATTTGTTTTCTACCACCAGCAAATTAAAAAAAAATATAACGAGCACACAAAAAAACTAGACAAAGCGGTAAAACATACAGCAAGCAAAAGCAGCTGCAAATACACGCAGACGAAGAAGAGGAGGAAGAAAAACACAAGAACGGCGAGGAAGTAGCGCAACCAAAAAAAAAACACATTTTTATTCCCTTTTTTGGGTGTTGGACTCGTATAACATACCGCGCACACAATAAAATAACTCAACAGCAACAACAAAAACATTGAAATATATTTGCAAATAAATGACCGACCGGCAATAATAAGAGCAAATGAGATAAATTGCTGCAAAAAAATTGAGTAAACACCATATAGTTGTACTACTTACTCTCTCGGCAAAGAGCTAAAAAGTAGAATATCAAACAAACCAAAAAGAAAAAAAAAAGAACTGCAAAAAATAGAAATAAAAGAAAAACCACACTTTTTTTTTGCTTTTACTTTGTGCTATCACTTTTTTTGTTGCTGTATTTTTCTTTTTTTCTAATTTTGCTGTGATTTTGTAACTTTGGCAAATGCAAAAAAAAAAACCAAAAAGATTAATAATTTTAACCAAACTTCTTAAATATCAAACCAAAACACTGTTTTCTAATTGTTTAAAAAACAAAAATAATGCAAAATATAACACTTTATTTATATTTACTTAAATTAACTACAATTTTACTACAACTCCCTTTATTTTCTAAATGACAAAAAGGGAGTGAAATCTGTTGCACCACTCACTCACTTTTTTCTTTAGGTTTTGATTTTGCAATTATTATTTTTACTATTGGTTTTTTGTTGTATTTTTTTGGCTATTTTGTAAATAACGCACGTTTTTAGTTGATGATATTTATTTTTATTGAAACACTTTGTTACAAAAAACTAATAATAATAGAAGAATTAATAATTGTGGAGAAGTTTTAAAAAAATTTCAACCGAGAACGAATGAAGAATTGAAAAATTAAAAAACACCGCACTCGTTGAACGTCAAACAACAACTAAAAATGGTGGAGCACAATGATGCTAAGTGAGAGATTTCCCTGTCTAACCAAATCTAGCGATTTTTGAAATTTGTTTAGCGGTTATAAAAAGTCATTGTTGAATGAAAACAAATATTACATGAATTATCTGAATTAATTATTTCGGTACTTTCTCTATTTTCCTTTGCAGTGTTTTATGTCATATCATCGAAAAAATGTAATATATAAACATATAAGTAATTATAGGTAAAATCAACTTAATTTAATTAAATAAGTAATTTATTTGCATTTTTTTTTAAAAGGAATGATCAGATGATCGCTAAACTTCGACACAAATTTAATGATTTTAAGACACATTTGGCAGCGATTTTTATTTAACAAAAGTAAACCACACTGATTTTAAAAACAGCTGATAATATTTTTGGTTGTTGGCAGCTTCACACCATGATTCTATAGTTGAAACAAAACGTCGACTTTTCGACTTTTTGTATTATTGAAAATTCATATTTTTTTTCAATTTTTTGCGACTTGTGAAAAATGTTTTGTGTTTCCTGAAAAGTCGACTTTTCGACTTTGTTAGGACAAAAAAGTCGGCTTCGAATTTTATAACTGAACTAGAACTGAACTAAAACGAAACTAGAACTGAACTAGAACTGAACTAGAACTGAACTAGAACTGACTAGAACTGAACTAGAACTGAACTAGAACTGAACTAGAACTGAACTAGAACTGAACTAGAACTGAACTAGAACTGAACTAGAACTGAACTAGAACTGAACTAGAACTGAACTAGAACTGAACTAGAACTGAACTAGAACTGAACTAGAACTGAACTAGAACTGAACTAGAACTGAACTAGAACTGAACTAGAACTGAACTAGAACTGAACTAGAACTGAACTAGAACTGAACTAGAAACTGAACTAGAACTGAACTAGAACTGAACTGAACTAGAAGTGAACTAGAACTGAACTGAACTAGAACTGAACTAGAACTGAACTAAAACTGAACTAGAACTGAACTAGAACTGAACTAGAACTGAACTAGAACTGAACTAGAACTGAACTAGAACTGAACTAGAACTGAACTAGAACTGAACTAGAACTGAACTAGAACTAAACTAGAACTGAACTAGAACTGAACTAGAACTGAACTAGAACTGAACTAGAACTGAACCATTTTAAAAAATCGATTTTTTTCGACCTTTTGATCTTTTACGACTTTTTCTAATGTTTTGTTTTATTCGCAAAATCTATTTTTCGATTTTTTTATTTATCGACTTTGTTGCAAGAAAAAAGTAGACTTCGACATTTTCCGACAAAAAGTCCATTCTTCGATATTTTAATGTCGAGAAATCTACTTTTTTAAATTGCAAAAGGTCAACCGATCCTGATAGGTAGGTAGGTTGATAGGAGGATGTATACTACATTAAATCCGAAGAAATATACCACTATCGGGCCTGTTGTGCGCTCCTTATCATGAAAAAAAAGGAACTGAAAGAATTATTTTTCAGTGTTCAGAAACTCAGTTTCCTGAACGTAATTCCTAAGAATCTTCCAATCAGTGTTAGTCAGGAATGTTATTTCCGGAATAACATCACTTCCAAGATACTTGGATCTAACTTCGACGAATGCCTGGCAGTGACAAAGAAAGTGCTCCAGAGTTACACTGTCCTCTCCACATGCTCTACATTCGTCTGAATCCGCACGTCCAATTTTGCAGAGATGTGCTCGTAGTCCTGTGTGTCCACTCAGAATACGTACCATCATACTAACTTCAGACTTGTTCATTTTGAGGAGATTTTTCGTCTTGCTCTCATCAGGGTCACCCCATAGGATCTTCGTGGTTCTACCCACTGTTTCATTATTCCAAGAGGCCTTATGGGATTCTCTCACCCATATTTTTAGTTCAGCTTTTGTTGCGTCGGATGGTTTTGCGTATGTCAGGTTAACTGCCTCGAGCTCCCTTCCTTTGAAAGCTATTACATTCGCCCTTTCGTTACCGACTACTCCCGAGTGGGCTGGTACCCATATGATTTGAACCTTACCTCTGGGAGAATATTCAGTTAAAGCTTTCTTACAATCCAATACGGTTTTAGATTTAGTTCTATCGCCTGATATCGCCCTAATTGCATTCTGGCTGTCGGTAAATATATTAAGCGCTGTGGGCGCCATATTTATTCTAATCCAATTTACGCATTCCGTTATTGCTCGTACTTCTGCCTGGAAGCTCGTGTTATGATTTGGTAAACGGTGGTATATTTCTGTTTCTGGGTCTTCAATATAGAAACCCAGCCCCACTTTCTCCCCCAGTTTAGAGCCATCCGTGTCACAACGGATTCCTACTGGTATTTGCTCTAACGTTCCGCTTGACCAAGACATTCTATCTGGGATCAGCGTTTCAAAGTTTCCGACATATTCTGTGTCTGGTATACGATCAGGCACGTCCGATGATTGTGTATAACCTTCCAAAGTGTCCAGTATACATTGACGACGTGTCCTATAACCGCTTTTGCCCAGTTCGCCTAAAGTAAAGAGCCGTTCGGCTGTAGGCGCAGCCTCATATATTAAATATGTTTCAATGGATGGAATATCTAGCAACGTTTCCAAAGCCTTGGTTGAAGTAGTACACATGGCACCACTTATACCCAAGCAGCATATACGCTGAACTCCCTGTAGTAGTTTGATATTGCACTTTTTGTCTAAAGCAGACCACCAGATTATTGAAGTATAAGCTAGAATTGGTCTAATTACACTTTTATAAAGCCAATTTGTCATAGTAGGACTAAGACCCCATTTCATGCCTATAGTTCTCCTACATATCGCCCAGCACCGATGTGCCTTCTTGTTGATCCTATCCTCTATGTGGTGTCTTCATTTTAATTTCCGGTCGAGGATTACACCTAAGTACTTAACTTTGTCTGTCACTGGTATCCGTTTATGTTAAATTACATAGTTGAACTTCTATTTTAAAGCAAATTATAACTGTTTTGGGGACCCGTTTCTAGGGAGGTTTAATGAAATCGTAAACAGATATAGCCGTTATCATTGTAATAAGAAAATAAGTGGTGAAAACTAAAAATCATGTTGAAATAAAAATAATGTTGAAGTTAAAAATTTATGGTGTAATGAGAAAAATTCACCACCAATTTAGTTGAAAAATGTTTTCATGCCATTGAAGAAAATTTTTAATCCTAAAAGTTTGCTATGCGTTTTTTGTCTTTACCTCTGGGTTTTCTTCAATCCTAAAAGTATGTTGTTTGTGGTATCTATTGTTATACACTTTATATTTGAGATTTAAATTGCCAACAACCATTTAACCGTTACTATTTTCAAATCGATTATTTAATATCTAAGAATTGTTTGTTGGGAATTTGTTAATGATATGAAAGATATTAATGAAAAATAGCAAATAATTACTGCAAAATCGGGTATTTTGCGAATATTTACCGAATAACAAAAAATTATTAAGAAGTACGAGCGAGACATATAAAAAAGTCTTTATGTTCTTTTAATTTGATTTTATTCCATTACAAGTTCAATTTCATTTCATTGCAATAGATCTTCAATCATAATACATATTTCCCATTTGCATGAATGAATGAAAATTCTTAATGAATTTTCCATAAGATTCTCTTGACCTCCATTAAAGAGATCATAATCATTTCACTCATTCGTAAAATGAAAAAGAAAAAAACATTACATACATCTGTAGCTCTTTTAGCGCCTTTTCAAAGAGGAATAATATAACAGATTTCAAATTAGTTTTTCCAATACTTAGTTTTAGTATAAAAGTGAGACGTTGAACCACATAAGGCAGCAGTTACAGTTTCAATTAAGAACTTTGTAAATTAAAACTTGTTAATTTTTTAGCAAATTGTTATTGTTTTGAGAAATTCATTATGGCAAAGTTACAAGTGAGTAGTTTTTGTATTTAGGTGATGAAAATAAAAGAAAGTTGTTAATCTTTAATTTTAAATGTATTTCGCAGTTTTCCACCACATTTCTTTTCATTGTAATGATGAGTCTTTTGTATCGGAGTATGGCAGGACCTGTTGAATTGGTAAAGTTATAAATTGTTGAATTGGTAATAAAATTAGCTTTAACTAAAGCTTTTTTCACTAAATTAATGAAAAAAGCTTTTTTCGTTCAAAGAATAGCAAGCTTTTGCAATAGCAAAAAAACAATTAAAAAGCTTGATTTCCTAAAACATTATAAGCTTTATTCACTGAAATAGTGAAAACCACATTTCCATTAAAAAGGGTTTTGGATATACATAGTGCAGGTATCACAAAGGGACCAACAGGACCCAAGTGTGCATCTTTGCAGCCTGAATACCTAACCTAACCATACATAGTGCAAAAATAAAGCTTTTTAACTAAAAAAGCTTTTTCCACCAAAACAATAATAAAAGTATTTTTCATTGCAATTCTAAAAGCTTTTGTTTTAAAAATTAAAAATTCAATATACAAAAAAAAAACTGTTTTCAAAATAATAAACTAATTTTAGTTAAAAAAGCTTTTTAACTACAATAAAAAAGTTTTTTTTTACTAAAGAGTAAAACTACTTTTACATAATAATGGAAAAGCTTGTTTTAGCTTAATGTCAACGCTTTTTCATTGAATAACTTCTTATTTTCCACACAAAGCTTTTGCAATAGAAAAATTTTATTACGTAACAGTAAAAAAGCTCGTTTTACTAAATAGCCTTTTCACTAAAACATAAAAGCTTTATACACTGAAATATTGAAAACCATTTCTTTTATTAAAACTAAAAAAGGAAAAAGCTTTTTTACTAATATAAAAAAAGTTTTTTTTTCTCACCGATACAATAAAAACCCATGCTTCTGTAAAGCAGTACAAAAGCTTTTTCCTTTAAAATTATAAAAGCTTTTGCAAATATAGTCTGATACATAGACTAGCTATAGTCTGATCTATAGACTAGTTTATAGCCTGATCTATAGATAAGTCTATAGTCTGATCTATAGATAAGTCTATAGTCTGATCTAAAGACTAGTCTAAAGTCTGATCTATAGACTAGTCTTTAGTCTGATCTATAGAATAGTCTATAGTCTGATCTATAGAATAGTCTAAAGCCTGATCTATAGACTAGTCTATAGTCTGATATATAGACTATTTTATAGTCTGATCTATAGACTAGTCTGCAGGCTGGCCTATAGTCTGATCTAGTCTATAGTCTGTTCTATAAACTAGTTTATAGTCTAGACTAGTCTATAGTCTGATCTATAGACTAGTCTATAGTCTGATCTATAGACTAGTCTATAGTCTGATCTATAGATAAGTCCAAAGTCTGATATATAGACTAGTCTATAGTCTGATCTATAGACTAGTCTACAGTCTGATCTATAGAATAATCTATAGTCTGATCTATAGAATAGTCTAAAGTCTGATCTATAGACTAGTCTATAGTCTGATATATAGACTAGTTTATAGTCTGATCTATAGACTAGTCTGCAGGCTGGCCTATAGTCTGATCTAGTTTATAGTCTGTTCTATAAACTAGTTTATAGTCTAGACTAGACTAGACTATAGACTAGTGATCTATAGACTAGTCTATAGTCTGATCTATAGACTAGTCTATAGTTTGATCTATAGACTAGTCTATAGTCTGATCTATAGACTAGTCTATAGTCTGATCTATAGACTAGTCTATAGTCTGATCTATAGACTAGTCTATAGTCTGATCTATAGACTAGTCTATAGTCTGATCTATAGACTAGTCTATAGTCTGATCTATAGACTAGTCTATAGTCTAATCTACAGACTAGTCTATATTCTGATACACTAGTCTATAGTCTGATCTATAGACTAGTTTATAGTCTGATCTATAGACTAGTTTAAAGTCTGATCTATAGACTAGTCTATAGTCTGATCTATAGACTAGTCTATAGTCTGATCCATAGACTAGTCTATAGTCTGATCCATAGACTAGTCTATAGTCTGATCTATAGACTAGTCTATAGTCTGATCTATAGACTAGTCAATAGTCTGATCTATAGACTAGTCTATAGTCTGATCTATAGATAAGTCTATAGTCTGATCTATAGACAAGTCTTTAGTCTGATCTATAGACAAGTCTTTAGTCTGATCTATAGACTAGTATATAGTCTGATCTATAGACTAGTATATAGTCTGATCTATAGACTAGTTTATAGTCTGATCTATAGACTAGTCTGCAGACTGGCCTATAGTCTGGTCTAGTCTATAGTCTGTTCTATAAACTAGTTTATAGTCTAAACTAGTCTATAGTCTGATCTATAGACTAGTCTATAGTCTGATCTACAGACTAGTCTATAGTCTGATCTAAAGACTAGTCTATAGTCTGATCTACAGACTAGTCTATAATCTGATCTACAGACTAGTCTATAGTCTGATCTATAGACTAGTCTATAGTCTGATCTATAGGCTATTCTATAGCCTGGTCTATAGACTAGTCTATAGTCCGATGTATAGACTAGTTTATGGTCTGATCTATAGACTAGTTTATAGTGTAAGATATAGACTGGTCTATCCGGCTTTATACTTCTCTACAATTCAGACTATAGACTATTCTCCAGAACAGATTACAGACTAGTCGATTAATCGGACTATATATTAGTCTGTATATTCGAGTATATAACACATTATGAATTATGCCATAGAGTTCTCTATAAATCAGAGTATGTAATAGTCTACAGATGGACTTGTCTAAAGTTCAGACTATAGAATAATCAATTTTATAAATTTTTAACAGGAAAAATCTTCTGATGATGACTTAAGCACCTCGGAAACTTTTGGTTATGGCTATTATCAACCTGGTTTATATTCTTCACCCGTAGTGGCGGCCAGAGTTCCTTTGGCAACGACTGCAGCTATTGCCACGCCCTTGACCACTACCACAACCCTCACTTCAGCTTCTAATGGTTATGCTCGTTCCGGTTATGGCTATGGCAGTGGTTATAAATACGGTAGTGGTTATGATTACGGTAAACGTTGGGGTTATGGTGGTGGCAGTGCTGTTAATGAATTTTATCGCCGTCATCCCGTCTATGTTGCTTGGGGCTGAAAAAATTGCAATTGGAAAAGTAAACAAAAACGAATTTGAATGAAACAACAAAGAAAAAGTGCCATCCATGTTTATAGAAAATCACACAAATATTTGTTTAACTGCCTTTTAATTAACACAATAAAAAAATAATATAATCGCTTAAAATCGACATTATTTATTAGTTAGAAATTTTATTGTAGTCCAATGAATCACTTAAGCACTTCAGTTTTTTCTTATCACTGCAGTATTAGGTATTTCTTGGACAAAGACACGTAAGTGCTTATTAAGCGATGGATACGCGTGCAATGTGTGTTCAGCCATTTCATTGTATTTATTCACGTGTTTAGCTTTAATGGCTGCAAATATGGTGGCAAAATTTTATAGTCGATAAGCAATTGAATTTCAACAGGTGGATATAGATTGATGACTTGATAAATTTGATTTATTAAATTTATTTTAGAGTCTAAATATGAAAGAATGTAAACTATTAATTTGAGTTTTTCATTTCGATTTCAAAAAGATTTTTGCAGTCTGAGTCTTCAAAGAAAGAATCGAAAAAGTTGGAATAAATGGAATGTTAAATTATACTATCTAAACTAAAACAAAACCCATTTCGTTACACTGTACCTAATATTTGTATTGAAATTAAGAACTTTAGCATAAATTCAATCATCATTTTAAAGTTGAGTAAATTATTATTAATTCAATTGTATTTGCCCAGTTTTTAGTTGATTCATTTGATTTCAAAATATTTACACAATAAATTATAAAATTTACATACAAGTACTTTTGCTTACTGTACGTTTGTATAAAATTATAAAAATAGAGTAAAATTACTTTATTTTGGCATTATATTTCATTTAGTTTGCTGTTTTTGTTAACATTTTTTTGTTAAGTAACTTTTCTTTTAATAAGTTTTATTATTTTTTTTGTTTTAAAACCATTTATACTATGTTTGAGTATTTGTAACCATGCAAAATTTACAAAACTGTTTTGTTGAATGAATGAAAATGAACTCTGGTTTAATTAATGAAAAAAACTTGTTGCTCTTGCTTCTTTGTGTTGTTATTATTGTTTTTTTTGTTTATTATTATTTTTATTTTTAGTGTTACATTTTAATGATTAACTTGACCCCTCCACTACTAACATACATGAGTATTTTAATAAACTCCCATGTACTTAGTAATTGAAGTAAGCACAGTGGGGAAAAAGTCAGTTGGAAAATTAATCCTTGCAAGTTGTTTGTGAGTACTCATCTAAGTAATTTTGTTTGTTAGTCTGTTGTATGGGAACACTTAATTGGAATTGCCAACTCAAAACCTGATATTGAAGATAGATAGATAGATAGATAGATAGATAGATAGATAGATAGATATAGATAGATAGATAGATAGATAGATAGAGATAGATATATAGATAGATAGATAGATAGATAGATAGATAGATAGATAGATAGATAGATAGATAGATAGATAGATAGATAGATAGATAGATAGATAGATAGATAGATAGATAGATAGATAGATAGATAGATAGATAGATAGATAGATAGATAGATAGATAGATAGATAGATAGATAGATAGATAGATAGATAGATAGATAGATAGATAGATAGATAGATAGATAGATAGATAGATAGATAGATAGATAGATAGATAGATAGATAGATAGATAGATAGATAGGTAGATAGATATATAGATAGATAGATAGATAGATAGATAGATAGATAGATAGATAGATAGATAGATAGATAGATAGATAGATAGATAGATAGATAGATAGATAGATAGATAGATAGATAGATAGGTAGATAGATATATAGATAGAGATAGATAGATAGATAGATAGATAGATAGATAGATAGATAGATAGATAGATAGATAGATAGATAGATAGATAGATAGATAGATAGATAGATAGATAGATAGATAGATAGATAGATAGATAGATAGATAGAGATAGATAGATAGATAGATAGATAGATAGATAGATAGATAGATAGATAGATAGATAGATAGATAGATAGATAGATAGATAGATAGATAGATAGATAGATAGATAGATAGATAGATAGATAGATAGATAGATAGATAGATAGATAGATAGATAGATAGATAGATAGATAGATAGATAGATAGATAGATAGATAGATAGATAGATAGATAGATAGATAGATAGATAGATAGATAGATAGATAGATAGATAGATAGATATATAGATAGATAGATAGATAGATAGATAGATAGATAGATAGATAGATAGATAGATAGATAGATAGATAGATAGATAGATAGATAGATAGATAGATAGATAGATAGATAGATAGATAGATAGATAGATAGATAGATAGATAGATAGATAGATAGATAGATAGATAGATAGATAGATAGATAGATAGATAGATAGATAGATAGATAGATAGATAGATAGATAGATAGATAGATAGATAGATATAGATAGATAGATAGATAGATAGATAGATAGATAGATAGATAGATAGATAGATAGATAGATAGATAGATAGATAGATAGATAGATAGATAGATAGATAGATAGATAGATAGATAGATAGATAGATAGATAGATAGATAGATAGATAGATAGATAGATAGATAGATAGATAGATAGATAGATAGATAGATAGATAGATAGATAGATAGATAGATAGATAGATAGATAGATAGATAGATAGATAGATAGATAGATAGATAGATAGATAGATAGATAGATAGATAGATAGATAGATAGATAGATAGATAGATAGATAGATAGATAGATAGATAGATAGATAGATAGATAGATAGATAGATAGATAGATAGATAGATAGATAGATAGATAGATAGATAGATAGATAGAATAGATAGATAGATAGATAGATAGATAGATAGATAGATAGATAGATAGATAGATAGATAGATAGATAGATAGATAGATAGATAGATAGATAGATAGATAGATAGATAGATAGATAGATAGATAGATAGATAGATAGATAGATAGATAGATAGATAGATAGATAGATAGATAGATAGATAGATAGATAGATAGATAGATAGATAGATAGATAGATAGATAGATAGATAGATAGATAGATAGATAGATAGATAGATAGATAGATAGATAGATAGATAGATAGATAGATAGATAGATAGATAGATAGATAGATAGATAGATAGATAGATAGATAGATAGATAGATAGATAGATAGATAGATAGATAGATAGATAGATAGATAGATAGATAGATAGATAGATAGATAGATAGATAGATAGATAGATAGATAGATAGATAGATAGATAGATAGATAGATAGATAGATATATTGTTGTGGGATCGCAGTAAATTCCTATTTCGAGATGTAGATCTCCAGGCCCATTTTGTCTAACTGTTTACACCCATGCTTGTCGTAACGGATTCCTACATGTATTTCCTCTAAAGTTCCGTTTGACCATATTATTCTACCTGGATCTTGATCACCCCACTGTAGTATGTGTTTTTTATGCAAACATTCATATCCATGAATGTTTTCATGAAGTAAGAGTTTTTATTATTATGATGATCATATTGCTGATAATGATGACGAATATGATCATTATTATTTAGAGTAAGTATGTGTGAAATGTTTAAAGTACAAATAATAATTATTTTAAAGAGTAAAGAGACGGACAAAGTGTAAAATGAAAACATAAAAAAATTAAGGAAAAAAAATAATATTGAAATTAAAACTTTGTTTTATTATTTATATTTCGTGGATGTTGTTTTTGTAACAGCATTTTTCTTATATTTTGATGATGTTTTTTTTAAACAACTATGTTGCTTTTTATGGCTTCCAGTTAAAATAAAGATGATGATGCGTCGTTACTTTTGCTAATAATGAGAAGAACAGAATGCAAGCGAAAGCGTTTAATGAAAAATCCGTTGAACGTTTGAAGTTTATAGAACTCTATGAAAAACTACTTTTTAAAGTGCAGGTCTAATATGCATATGATATAACGAGCACAGCAGGAGGCTGCCACTTGAATTCTCAATTAGTGGCGCCTTAGAGATGTAAAAATCGTTTGCATATAAAATAGTTGTTCTAAAAAGTAACCTCTTAACATAAAGAAAACATTAGTATAGTTTAGAAGCAAATGATTTAATTAATTATGACGAGTTTTCCATTTCGTATGCGATAACTAAAATATGACAAAAAATATTATTTCAACTTTGGATTTTCAAATAATATCAACAAAGTTTAAGGTTATTTGTTATTTAATATAAAACACGAGCTATTTTATTTTATTTAAACAAAATATATTTATCAATATTTCAAACAAAGTTTTATCATATTCTTTGTCTAAGTACTCGTACTTACGTCAATTAATTTAATTGTCATATTTAAGGTAAATCCATAAGTAATACGTAAAATATGTGTGTTTGGAAGATAATAAGATAAAATTAATTTAAAAGTTCCTAAATTGATAATGTTATAGAAATTAAAGTTATATTATTTAAACATATCTCTTACAGTTTTGTAGCACATGGGATTTAAAAACCTTTTAGGCTTTACACATAGGGAACTTAATATTTTTAGTTAGAAGGATTGTTGTCTAGTCTAGTCTATAGTCTAGTCTATAGTCTAGTCTATAGTCTAGTCTAGTCTATAGTCTAGTCTAGTCTAGTCTAGTCTAGTCTAGTCTAGTCTATAGTCTAGTCTAGTCTAGTCTAGTCTATAGTCTAGTCTATAGTCTAGTCTATAGTCTAGTCTATAGTCTAGTCTATAGTCTAGTCTATAGTCTAGTCTAGTCTAGTCTATAGTCTAGTCTAGTCTAGTCTAGTCTAGTCTAGTCTAGTCTAGTCTAGTCTAGTCTAGTCTAGTCTAGTCTAGTCTAGTCTAGTCTAGTCTAGTCTAGTCTATAGTCTAGTCTAGTCTAGTCTATAGTCTAGTCTAGTCTAGTCTATAGTCTAGTCTATAGTCTAGTCTAGTCTAGTCTAGTCTTGGGCTTTTGAGCTCATAATTATGTATAATATAAATGTATCTCGATGAAAGTTCGCACAACTAAGTTTTATACAAGCCTTGATGACCTTGCCGAATTTCGAAATGATCGGACTTCATTTGAACCTAGCCCCCACACAAAGCCTCCTTCAGAAAGTGACT